TTTTAATATTCTTTTTTTTGTTTCTGCATTTTTTATTTTTTTTTTTTCCTACTTGCTTTGATTCTGTTTTATCTTCCTGTATTTTAATCATGTAAAGCACTTTGCATTGTCTTTGTACTGAATTGTGCTATACAAATAAATTTGCCTTGCCTTGCCTTGCCTTGTATTGACGTAGGTTTACAGTGTTTCTCTGCTAAATGTTAGTTTTGAACCAAATTGAAAGAAATATTCAAATTTCTTACAACTTAATTCATCAGTTGTACTTAAATTCTAATTATGATTTAATTAAAACAGTTAATTTTCATTTAAAATAAGTAAAAAAACAACAAAACATAATCTTCCAAAATGCTGAATGTACATTGGCCTTATGTACCAAAGAACAGCTTTATCTTTTAGTAGATATTTATTTAACAACTAAATTTTAGTTGCTTTTTGTTCTATGGTAGGGGATTTTTTTTTCAATTTTAGGCAAATAAAATTTCAAAGGAAAGAAAAACAAAAAAAGATTTATTGGAACATAAAATTTTATTTAAATAATGTGAAAATTTCACTTGGTTCAGTGCAGATCTCTGTTTCTGCAGCTCTCTTTCATATATTAAAAATGACAAACAATGCCATGTTTTTGGCAAAAAGAATAAAAATAATATAAAATCCTGTTAGTCATATACATACCAAGACATAAGCATGAATGGGGGTCTGGGGCGGATTTAGGAAATTTGGAGCCCTAGGCAAAGACAAGCATGGGGGCCCTCTGAATTGAGAAGACAACACATAAAACAGACCTATTATACAGATAGAGAAATGTTAATAGAATATACATCCATTATTTGTTTTACATTTTGTCCCTCTCTTCTTCTCCGTTTTCCTGTTTTCCTCTCTATGTTTTGTTCTCAGCTGACTTTTCATGCTGTCTCAAAAGGAATTATTTTTTCCAAGTACTAAGCTCACTTAGCTGATTGCTCCTTCCTGTGTTTCCCAAAAGGCGACGGCAAAAGTAAATAACACAGTCCTTCTTTTCACTGTAGACAAGCCATGATCTGCTTATCTGTTCTCCATTTTCATTTAAATGAAATAATAGCTGCATGAATCATGACAGCAGACCAGATAGAGGAGAGCAGGAGGCGGGGTTACCAATCTACTTGCTCTGGAGAGCAGAGTTCGCTGCTTTTAGATGTTGTTGCCAAAGACTCCAGTAGCAGAAAAAAGCTGCTAGAGTTGGCGCTAGGTGTTTTTTTTTAATAAAAGTTGCAGCTTTGTCTGAAAAGTCACTAATTATAGCGACAAAAGTGCTAAGTTGTCTTTACACCGTTTGTTTTAAAATGGTTTTCTGTTGTCTGGACCTTTCTGAACATATTTAGCAAATGGATGGATCCAAGGTCGTGCCCCCACGGATGGGGGGGCACACTTAATATTATAAGCATTCTGATGGCATTTTAGCAAAAGGATTTTTATCAAAATCATATTTAATGTGCACAAATAAGGAATAGTTATATTAACCCTACATGAACAGAGTTTAATGGCGGCCCCCAGGAACCTAGGCCCTAGACAACTGCCTAGTATTGCCTAATGGTAAATCCCCCCCTGATGGGGGTTAATCTAAGGTCAAGTATGAAAAACCAGCAATGGATTTTTACAATAAGGAAATTTTTCCAACAGCGTGTGTGCACTCTTCTTAACACTCAGCTCATTAAACCTCCATGAAAGGTGCAAGTAATTACAACACTAGGTTATCACCTGAACATATTAAAACCATCCACCATAGGGCACCAATCCTCTTATGCTGCTGCTATACACTGTGCAATTATTAAGAAAATGTGGTTTAAATGCTGTTTTTTATGTGAGGGAGGAAATACCAAATAAAAATAAAAATAAAAAATAAAAAATTGAAGGAGAGAACAGAAAATGTGGTTTTGCTGCTGTTTTTTTTTTATGTGAGGGAGGAAATACCAAATAAAAATAAAAAAACTGAAGGAGAGAACAGAAAATGTGGAAAAAGAATATCAGAAACTGAGACTATTCTCTGATGGGGAGGGGAGGGGATGAAAGAGGCTCAATTCTCACTCCCACTTTTGCATCACAGGACAGGTTTGCAAGAGTGGAAACAGGAAAAAAAAACGCCACTTACCTTTGTCATCCAGGCGACAGAGCCTTCCCACTGACGGTCTGCCTCCTGCTAAAGCAGCAAAGCGGGAGGTCGATGGTTTCCAGACGGGAACGTAAAGAAAAGATCGCGTCCATTTATTTGACTCGTAGCGATAAAAGATGCAAAGTAAAACCATGCAAATATAGCCGGTTTCATTGAGTGGGACAGTAAACCGGCTAATTATGACGGGCTTTTAACTGAACTGGGAGGGAATAAAGGAGCAACATCCACGGCGTGTGGAGGAAGAGAGAGGGGGGATTTAGAAAAGATGTGAGAAAGCATTAGAATGCAAGAAATGGTGTGAGGAACGTCTGGGAGAGACAGATCTGCATATGGAAATGAGGCTCTGCGTGGTTCAGCTGTAACTGCTGCATTATGTTGAATTAGGCGCTGCACCCAGGAAGGCTCACCTGGAAGCGGCCCCAAACAGGTGTGTCCGCCTGTTACCAGGAAATTAGAGAAAATGTCAGAAACTGGAGCATCTTAAAGTCTCTGGTCCATCTTTCAAACAAGGCATTTGTTTTATCTGCACAATTAAAATACAGTACACCATTTAGCTATTTTTCAATATATATTTCCTACAACCAGGGGCGGAGCTAGATGAGGGGCAATGGCCCCCCTAATGCTACGTTCACACCTAAAGCAGCAAGAGCAGCAAAAACGCTTCATTTTTTATGCTTGTACAAGTTAAGTTCTCATGCACAGCAGGAGCAGCAAAGCTGCTTCAGCTGCGCGGTGGAAAAAGTGGGTCTGATCCACATTTAGTGTAGCTACCCTATCCTTTCTTTGCCTTTAACAATGGCCGCTATTTATGCTGTGATCAGTGGAATAAAGTAGTTTTAATATTTTTTTAAGTGAGAAGGTCCACATTAGAACTTCATCTGTGCAGTCAGTTCATCAAGATTATGATCCTGCATTCAAATATTATTAGGCGGTGCTCTGTCATTGCTCTGTCATTGGAAATCCCATTCAACAGCAGCCTCTAGCCTGGGGGCCTCTTCGTGGTTTGCTGCGGCAGCCGGAAGGGGGTTTTCATGTACGTAATCCAAGCTGCACCTTGATGCACGTCAAACATTGACTTTGCATGTAAACTAGCTGTTCCTGCTGCTTTAGATCCGAACGTAGCATTAGCCAATCACTGGCCACCCCTGTGGCCATCCCTACCATTTTTTCCCCCTCTAACACAGACGTTGGCAGCAGTAATACTGTGATAGAGTGACTATAGGACCAGTTTGATATAACACAATTTCATACAATATATATATAATTAGGGGGTCCCCGCTCCATCTTGCCATGAGTTTGGGGGTCCTTGGCCTGGAAAACATTAGACCCCTGATCTATAGTGTCATTATTGGCTATTATATGCTTATAATAACAAAGAAATAATCTCCAAAAATACAGTTTGGACTATCTTCCCAAAGTAAGAGTTGTGGTATGATCCAGATGAGGTTATCTATGTATCCTACAAGTTTGGAGGCACTACAATGATCAATAGTGTAGTCATTGCTTGTTTTATACTAATTCTAATAATAAAATAGAGGTGCCATTTGTCATTTAGGCTTTGGAAAACTCCTAAAAAAAAGTCTTATTTTTCGAATCCAATGAATGTGGTCTGAAAGACATGAGATGAGATACACATGAAATTAATTTGACAATAATCCACCTCTCCTTGGTGACGCTTTTGAATATTTCTCTCTGATTATTTCTATGGTGTTGCAATTTGCAGACGGTCCCTAAGCATTTGCTGAGGAGGGTCAATCTACACTGTTCCAACAAAAATGAGCACAACATCCATATTTTCTAAATAAAGACAAACTATACTTTCCTACAGCCTTTGCTAACAAATAGAAAGTTATATTTTAACATCTATGCTGTGTAAATAAAAGGTATAGTGGAC